ATCCGAAAAATTTCAACAAATCATAAACGAGTCGAAACACGTAAAAGAGTGTGTGTGTGCTCGGTGTTTTTAGCGTACGAAGTGTTGCGGGAATTATGCACCAGTGCGCAGACGTAAACGCAACACCATGTAAAATTAAAAAAAAAACGAAATTGTATATTTTTTGTACAAATGTGTAAAAAGAACTTGATATAGCAGCCGAAAAGAGTGATTGCTAAAATATATCACTGGATTCAGAACACAAATTTTGAAACGCGATAAATACCACCAAGCAATCCGTTTTATAACTAATGGTCGGGCCAAAACAAGGGAAAAAAACGTTAAGTTCGGTTGAACAAGCTATAATACCCCAACCCAATATTCCCAAACAAAAAAAAGAGTTTGCATGACAGCTATATGCTATAGTGGTCCGATATCGGCGGTTACGACAAACGAGCAGAAGTACTGCGAACTGCAGCACCCGCGCGCAACTTCGTTCTAGATATTGTTGCAGCTTAAACTCCTACTTATCCAGAATACACCGACATACCAAACACTTGTCCTGCGTGCAATGAGTCTCCGCATGACACTAACCACCTCTTTGCTTGCCCAATGAACCCGACTCATCTAACACTCTTTTCCCTATGGTCACCTCGTTTCCTGGGCCTCCCGTTAGATGACCTCGACGACAATCAATCTGGAACTTATCACAAACGGGGATTAGGTAACCGTTACAACAACAACAACAAATGAGCAGCTTCTTGAGGAGAAAAGGACATATGCCAAACCTCAAATCGATGTCTCAAAAAGTGAGGCACTAGTTTCTATACAGACAGACAGACGCACATGGCTAAATCAACTCAGCTCGTCACATGACTTTCGACGCTTCCCTCTGGGTGTCACAAACTTCGGAGCACATTTATAATATCTACCTTGTCCAGTGTATATATTTTTTTACTGTTTCTCAAATCGTTTTTTAATTAAAATTTGCTTGATTTCTATAGCTATGCCTAAAGCATATGTATGTATGTATAACTAAATTTAGCTTTTGAATAATAGATATACATTTGCAATTCTTGATTTTCACTCAAAAAGGTGGTGCATAAGAACAGCACAATTAGCAGTGGTGGCAATTAACATAATCATAAAACTGATTTACGTATCTTGATAGCTGTCATAATACATACATACATACCTACATACATATTATAAATCTAAGTGCGTATATAGTTTAAGATGAAAATGGTTCATACTCAAATGAGCTCTTGCTAGTAACCCTTAACGCATACCTAGTTCATTTTGCCATATTGTTGTTGTACTTAATATGCTTGGCATGGGCAAAGTGTAGTGGTAGTTTTTTCGGGGATTGCTGCTGTTCTAAAAATACTTGGTGGAATATAACATCGGTTTAATTTAGGATCGCATTTATTTCTTAAGCAATTTTAAAGAATAAAATAGCTTTGTATATTATTGCTGTTGTTATTAATAATATCAGCCTAGAAGTATGCAATGTCAGACCACAATACCAATTTTCTACATTATGCACATGGAAAAACAGGCATACGGTAAAAATATTTAGTTTAAGATTTTGTGAATGCAACAGAAATATTGATTTTAAACCAAATTAAGGGAAGTTTCTTAAAAAAACTGTATTTAAAGAAAATTTTTGCCCAAAATGAATTTGTATTTTATGCCAAAGCGTAGAGTATTAGTAGTTGCTAAAATATATTGTAAGCATTTTATTTACACTCTGCACATACATATATATCTACATATAATTTTTTGATCATACCTACAAATATACTAACTAAATGTTGTAAGTGGCATTGTTTGTGTAATTGCAAATTACAAATTAATGTCTGCCAAACTGCTTAACAAGCTTAAAACTGCGCAACACGCTAACTCTCATGAACAAAATCGACAGAATGCTAGCACGACAGTAGATTATAGGGAACTACCAATTCACAGAACAAAACATATAAATAAAATATATGTTTGTATATAGCAAGCGCGAAATAATTCGCCACGACGAACTGGAGTTACAAGTAAACTGGAGCTGCCTTTGCCTTTGTGGCTTTTGTATTGAAGAGATGTTAAGCAGAGCGAAAGAGAAATGGGAAATAGCTTCGGCAATTGCAATAAATGTCAATGTAGCAGCCCGTTCGTTGCACATTTGCAATTGCCAAAAATAGTGGAATGGTTAATAAACGAAAAACCAAAAACTGCACAGCAAAACGGTAACCAGCAGCGTGAAAGGTACGATGAGGCAGCCTTACAGTTGTGATTTCAATACATATATGTACATATACTTATGTACATATTGGTGTATGTACATGGGTTGTACTGTTGGCATTTAGCGTCGCTGTTGTTATAAGTAAGCAAATAGAAATAAGTGAACGCAAAAGGAGCATTTTATCGCAGATTAGAGGCAAATGCCCATTTTGCCGATGAAAGGTCAATAAAAATGGGCAGTTGAGCTTCTTTTTTGGACTTTAGTGCGGTCACAATTCTTACTTGTTTTCTGCGAAATTGGTTTGGCGCACATTGTTTTTTTTTCGGGTTTTTTATTTGTGTAACATTGCTTGTTATGTCCACATTATAGCTGCAGTGTACGTTATACCCATTTGGTTAGCCTGCAGCTTTTTCGTTATTTGGATGTGAAATGCAAATACTGAGATTCCCACGAAAGCTAACGGTTCATGTGTAGGATCTATTTTAATCATGTATTTGTTTTAACGTTGTTTTGCTATGAACCAGCAGGAGATGCTGACTTACAAGGAAAAATAAGCGTGTCATAAAGTTTGGCTCATGTTCGGTAGTGAAATTCGTAGGTTCGTATCGATTACAAAAATAAACTGCAGCGAAAACTTTTTTAAAGAAATAAATGTACAATGTATTGCTTTATTGCGCATCTTATAACTACCAAAAAAAGAGATGCGTCAACCCAATTTATTATTACAGTATCCTGCATGCAAGTTTTAGTGTCAAATTAATTGTAAACATTTATCAGCACTTACCTTAGGTTTTGGTGTATGGCAAACATTGTAGGAGCCTAACATTTGTTCGTCGTCATTGAGATCTTGACTAGCGCTGTTTACATCACCACCACCAACATCATAATCATCAATTACAGCACTATCTTGTACGCCATATATAGCTAGTGGATTCGAATCTACGGGCGGTGCGTATATTGTATTTGTGCTTGGCGTAGCATAACTGACGCGCTTGCGATTAGCCTGTGCCAACTCTTTGTCACGCTTTGCCTGAAACACTTTACGTTCAAATTCTGCTAAATTTTCCACTGATGGCTCAGCACCATTTAGATTTGAAATACTAAAAGCCATCCACTGTTCCACAAATTCAGCAGCGTCATCCACACAATAGCTGGCACACAGTTCCAACGCTGATGTATATGGAGTTAAATAAAAAATTGCAATATTAGTTATGCTAAACATTTGCTAAAAAAGAAGTTTACTTACATTTTGTTATTACATCTTCGTTGGCCTCTACACCCATCTCTTCGAATTGTTGCTTGATTTCCACATCCATAATATATTACACCAATTTTTTCGTATTTGCAGTATTTAGTGTTATAAACAAATACAAAGTTGACAAATATATTAAGCCGAAGAATTGTATAAACACAATTGTTTTCCTGATCTTCACTGATTTTGTTTATTTCAATTGTCAAATAACAGGGCATTTCGCGCCAAAAAGACAGCTGTTCGATGTCAAATTGCGAAAGCGATATTTACAGCGACATCTATGTATTCGTAGCCGATTTAACATCAATTTCAAGAAGAAAATTCTGATAAAATATTCGTTTTTATTTTTGTTTGCAATTAATTTGCTTTTTTATACTACATAAGTTTTTGTCAAACTATGACTTTTCGGCCTTTTTTTAATTTCTAAACAATTGCAATGGCTTTGATGACATTGCGAATATTGCGTATCGGTATGATCGTTGTCAAGGAATTTACACAACCTGTTAAAAAATTGTTCGTAAATGTCGCCCAACGAAATAAATTTTTTCGCAAATATATTATCAAACCCCCGGCCCGTGGTATGCGCATACATAATTACAATACATATGGTGTATCCGGTTGCTCATTCATTTAATGTGCCTTTTGAATTCCTAGGATATCAGTGGTGTGAGAAATCTCTCCATAAGCTAATATCCAAAGATAAGCATTTGGAACAACTAACCGAAGAAGGAGCCATTGATTTAGGTGCAGCAATATGGGCGGAAATAGTGGTGTTTATAGGCTGCTCAAAATTTGTACTTGTGGAAACGAATAAGTAAAAAAATAGTTGTATTACTTTTATACAAACATAGTAGACAGATTGCATTGAAAACGTACATATTCTTGTTATATAGGCAAATAAAGGCGAAAGAAATGGCAGAAGAAGATTTCTTAATTCAAGAACAAAATATAAACGAGTGTATAGAAATTTTACAAAATATATTAAAGCAGCAAGTTATATATATTGAACAAATAATAGTCACCCTGGAAGAACTTGGTAAGTTTTTATTTTATATAGTATGTACATATGTAAGGGCATATTTTAAAATTTTTATTCCACCTGATTTTAGGAAAACCAATCAAGCGTATTCCGCTTGCACATAGAGAACATAATTAACTTCAAATAAATAGAACCAATATATTGCTCGCGCCTTTAATACAAAAAAAACTAAATGAAAGGAATACTGTATATAAAATCTATTACACATTTTAACATCTAAACAGTATTTTGTTTTTGAAATTTAAACCGTTCATTAATTTCAAGAAGAATGGTGTTAATTGCATTACCAATTTTAAAGTTGTGTTTGCTGGGTATGCGACAACTATCACGTCCTATTAGTAATTTCGTACGTAAGAAAGCAAAACAAAGCGAAATATTTCGGAAATATATTTGTATACCGCCCGCTCAGTGTGAGTAAATGGAGTAAAATCCTATGTATGAGAAATAATAACAGTCTCTCTTTGGCAGGTTTTCACCGATGTGAAGTCGCACTAAAGATGTTGCTATTGAACTTAGGTCGACCGGTTAAAGTGGCGCCACTAAACGAACCAATGGCTCTTGAATTGGGCGCTGAATTATTGGGTGAATTAATTGTATTCTCAGTTGCAGCTGCAAGTTTGATTTTTGAAACGAAAAGGTATGTAGGTAGTTATAGTTTTAACAGTCGTTACATTATTGTTCGTTTGCACTAATATACTTAAGGCAAGCTAAGAAAAGAGATCTTGAAATAAAAAGTGTGAATGTCCATAGTATAAATCTGACTGAAGCAATAAAGGTATTAGAATATCGACAGCAGAGGCAAAAGATGTTTATTCAGGAGATCGCCCAAGCTTTGTCCGAACTAAGTGAGTACGTCTATAGTAGTTCAAAAAAGTAATTGGGTAGCTAAATTGTTAGATACATACATTTCATTGATAATTTCTAAATTTTCCTTGTATTGTACTTAAAATTATAAGTTTACTTAATATGCTACAGATAGTCCCATCAAGATAAACGAGAATCAAGAGAACGAACTGGAAAAAAGGAAAACTGTGCAAGAAAATAACGACAAACTATTTGAATATATGCAATGAATATTCCGAAAACCATTTTAACATAAACTTAGAAACCTTTATCAATAATTTAACTCTATTGTTCAATGTAAAAAGGAGCATTAAACAAAATCATGATTTATAATATATTGTTTGTAAATATAAATTTCCCCTTTGCTTGCTGTTCTTTGCGGTAATTAACGTTAAAGAGTAGACTATTTCGTTAAATCATTTGAATCATTAAAAACTCTTTAGCGAAATGAGTCACATATTAGAAGCTGCCACCAAATGTCTAGCATATTTATATAATTTGATACACATACATTCTTTGCTATACAAAATATAATATTAAGGTATATTTATCAAATTATTAAACCAAATACTCAAGTTCTGTACTAATAAAATTCCTCTGATTAACAAGTTTTTGCTCTTAACTTGTTGCTTAGCACGTCTTTGCTTACTGTGCGAACTGATGTATGTTTGTGATTTTGTTATCTCTCTCTCGACGCGCATCCAATTGGGGGATCTTTTTAAGTTGAAGCTGTATAATTTCATTTGATTTTGGTTTATTGTCTGAGTGTAAGGCTGGCTTTCGCCAAACTTCGCTTTTGTTTATCAACGAGCGTCGTGTAGGGCAGACGACATAAATGCAAACAATCTTGTCTACAGTGTTTCGTGTATTTTTGTTAACTTATTTCTGCTATCAATAGTCCCATTTCGACAATTTTGAGAAATATTGAAATTAATTTTATAAAGAAAATGAAAGGTGTCATATTTGTTTTTGTATTTTACGCTGCCACTGTGATCCTACAGACCTCTACAGAAGTAGTATATCCAGAACCTATTCTATTGGAAAAGGAGAAGTCAAACGCGGCAGTGAGTATGAATTGATGTTTTTAATGAATTCGTGATATATCTACAGCACAATACAAAGCTTACATTCGGGTTATCATATATGTAAATATGTATGTATATATGTGTACATATTGTTTAATTGATGCGTTTGTTTTACTTTTGCGTGATCGGGGAATAATGTAAGAGCGTTTGTAAGAGAAGCGGCTCCGTCAAATGAGCAGCTTCTTGGGAAGAAAAGGACGTGTGCAACGGGCTTGCTCGTATATATACAGACGGACAGACAGATGGAAATGGCTAAATCGTGTCAACTCGTCATGCTGAATATATATATATAGGTATATATATGTAGCAAACTAAAAATACCCTCTTCATGGTAGAAAAAGTAAAACATTCGAGGTCATAATTTTCTGCAACGAAACTAACTGCTTTAAGTGATTCTTTAGAAATTCTCAAATTCAATTTTAATTCATTACACATCTAATACATTCGGGCGTGCCTTTTCAATGACAAATTTGAATTGTTACCTTTGATTTGCTGTAAATCGGAATAACCCACGAACATGCTGATAAGAATCTATTTCTAAATATTATTACATGTAAACACAACTACATACATAATTAATGATAAGAATTTGAGCTTCTTCGAAATTAAACAGAAAATATTACTTAAAGAGATTTTCCTTTTTAAAAGGGTCGCATTCCGCATTACTCTCCATCGCGCTGTAAGTCTAATGAGCTGCTTTATCCCGGAGATCATGATGATGACTGGATTTGCGATTGTGCACCAGGTAAGTTAATCTCGTTCTTAGAATTTAGTTACCGATTTCAATGCAAATGCTTTTTTTCTTAGCTGCATTGTACTATCCCGACTCGGATTCCTGTCATTCCGCCTTCCGGCGTGGTCCCTGTGAAGCCGAGTACATGCTCGTTTTAGCACCCAATGCAGTTTTACCCCAATGCATAAAGAATACGTGTAAAGTAGATGGATTGGTTAAAATTAATAATGTCTGCTATGAGATTGGCAGTTCTGGGCCATGTCAAAATGCTCATTTGTCGTACGTGTTGGGTGTTAATACGACGACATTGTTGTTAGATTGCATTAAGTTGTCGATTTCTGTGAGGACGCGCGTCAGCCTGCTGGGTGATGATGAACCGGATTATGATCTGAGCAAAGTTGATTTGTGTGCACGTGGCTCGCAACGGTCGATAGAAGGCACTTGTACGCACAGCGTTAAAACAAAATGAAATCCTGATAGAATGCCACGAACTTACAATAATAGTTTATAGTTACTTGATGCATTATTGAAATTTATCTTAACATTAATTTCAATTATGCATAATTTACTTTAGTTACAACTATAGTATGAGTTTCAATATGACTTTAACGGTGTTAATTTGACACTGCAACGTTACCCTTATTTTTCTTAATTGGCTTGGTTTGGCTACTTTCGGTCTCTTTCACATCTTCAAAAGTTGCCTCCTCATTTGGTAAATCATCCTCTTCCTTAATGCCCATGTTTTCATCTGCGGCTGCTTCCATTTTCAACAAAGCATTCTCAAGTGATGCCACGAATGCACTTTCACTATATTCGGGCCATTTTCGAAATTGTGTGAATAATGTCAGCATTTGACTTGCAGATAGATCACCGAATTGTGTGTAAATGTTCATATTCGGATAAAAATCCCGATTGCTCATAGTTGTGCAACGCGTGGAGTATTGTGGCAGCTTTACATTAGCCTCATCTGGATAAAGAGGCTTTAATGTCTCTGAAGGCACACTGTTAATTATTACACGTGGTCCACAGCCTGGTATCCATTTTCTAAAAAAAAAAAAAAATTTTTACATTTAGTATTTTAGTACGATAGTATACACATTACTTACTCTAAATTTGGAATAATTCGATTCCGGCGGCTAACACAGTTCTGTTTGACAAAGTACCAAAGTGGTTGCAGGTCTGCGAATGGACAAAGATCTAAGAAGTCTCGACGGGGTACTATTCGTACCAAATATAAGTACTCGGGGCTAATAGATTGCACCTGCATACATGAAATTTAATAATTCAGAGTATGTATCAACAACTTGTTATTCTCTACCTTTTTCAGACGGCTACCTTTACTGATTTTATACTCAATTTGATTTGGTAGGAAATGTTCACGTGGTAACCGCGTGATGAAGCGGTATTCAAAGAGCATTTGAAAAAGCATAGATGTTGATCTATATATCATATAGCCAACGTCACTACTGCAGGTCAAATGCTGAAATATAACTTTTAGCAATTAAATAAAATAATTTTAATGAGCAGACTTACTATGTAAATGGGTGGTGGTATTGCAAGAAACATTTCCATACGTCCCCAGCTGAATAAACCATTTTGAAAAATAATGGAGTTTACAATATGTTTGAAAAAACTGTAACAGCCCACGGCACCAAACAATAAAGCGCTGGGATCTATAAATGTATACAAATAACAATATAATTTTTTTTATTTTAGTTACAAATTTCTATAAACCACCTTCATTGTGTTCACGTTTTGGCAAATCAGATAGCATATCCGCAACTCGGGTGCCATTGTCCATTCTGTCTTGAAATGACAGCTTCCATAAGCTCACAATGTCATTGTGCTTCACTTTGACACGTTCCGGGTAAAGTGCATGGAAATCTTGCAGCCCAGGAAGAAAGTGCTCCATCGTCTCTATAAGTATGATTTTTTTTAAACGGTCATCACGATTCAGTAGTTTGCGTGTAAATAAACCAATGCCTGGATTCATTTCAATAGCGGTATCACATTTGGTTTGTTGCATAAAAGGCTGAATTGCATTGTCTATTTGCTCAACCAATTGGTCATCAGCTACATAGTAATGTGCGGGAATTTTATGCCTTTTGTTGAATAATTTCTCTGGAAACAGATTTGCGTGTCGGGAATTTTTGTGTACAAAACGTCGTATATGAAACATTATTTCAGTAAAAGCCATTTGTAGTTTCTTGTAATTTATTACAAATGCATGTGTTCTATGCAAAAAAAAAACGAGCTGAAATTAAACTCATATGGAAACCAACAATATTTACGAATGGTGTTGAAAAGAAAATAACGAACACCGGATATTTTGGTGCGCTGTGCGTCATCTAGTGCGCATTAGTTGGCTTGGTACAAGCTAAATGTGCAAAATTTTCAACGCCGCAAAATAATTTTTCTAGAAGTATATACATATAATTTTAGTAAAATATGTTTATTTTAATGGCAAAAAAACCTAAATTTTGTTAGAAAATATATAAAGTTTAACTAATCTATGAGAATATTTTGTTTTCCATTTTATTACAAAGTTGATTTAAAAAGTATACAAATTATCATACGTAACTTACTTTCAGCTTATTAAATATATTAAAAAACTATACAGTGCCTTATCCAAAAAGTGTAACAACAGCTCTTAGTTACTTTAACTAGTAAAATGGTGGTTTTTTTTTATAAAAAATACAGACACGTAAGAATATTGTAAAAATCCAAGTACGTTATATAAAAAGTGTTCAATGCAATAAGAACTTAAAAACACATCCCTGTCTGAAGAGTGGTAGCAGAGAACGTATATTATACGTTCTCTGGTGGTAGTTTCATAGAGCGTAATGTGTTAATACGTTCTCCACACAAAACTACAAACGAAAAAGACTTCGAACGTCGAATTGTAGTGTTAGCGGAAAAATAAACTCAATGCACTTTTCAATCCAATTTTAAGAAATAATGAATTAAAATAAATTGTGAAAATTAAATACGTGCAAAAGTTACTTAAAATGTTGAATAATATATTACGTTTTATTTAAAAGCAGTATGTAAAGCATAAAATAAATAATTCAGCGAAAAAATAATACGGCTTGCAATCGAAGTATGAAAGAAGGTGTGAAAATCAATAACAAAGCAAAATTGGGGAAAAAGTGCATTTCTACTGGAGCGAATTCGTTAGTTACAATTGGATATTGTTTGTTTCAAATCCATACGGTCAGTGTTAATTCATAACTAATTGGAAAATATTACATCCTAATAGAAATGTATAAAGTGTGCGGTTAATCTAAGCATTCGTTGAGCCAATAAGTAAAGAGTTAGCTACGCGTTTTTCAACCCGTTACGGGCGTTGGTATGAGTATTCTTTTATGAGAAAAAACAATCCATGAATTTGATCATTCCATTGTGTTTCAACAATGCTTTTGTTGTTTTTCACAATATTCGTTGCGTCCCGGCTTCCGTGATGTGAATTAATTATTTTTCATTTCCCTTATTTAAATGTATGTATAAACGTCTGATCACGGTGCTTTAGTGTGTTGCATTGCATTGTATGCCAGCTAAAGAAAAGGATATTACCTTTACTTTATAATTTGTATTAGAAGCTAAAAAAATCAGCTATAAGTAGAATTTATGTAATAAACAGAAAACCAACAAAATCAAATTGTTTTGAGTAAAGCGTCACAGTTTTAAAAGCAAAACTGTAAATAAGGTCAAAGCAGAACCACCAACTTGTTTTGCTTATTGGACGAACAAATGAAGTGGTGATTCATTGTCGTATAGTCGCATTAAACTACAACGCAAGTTTGTATTATTCATGCGCTGCGAAACTGGGTAAAAAAAAACAGGCAACCAGTAACAAAAACGGGTAGTGGACTACCGGATTGTGGCCCGGTGCGCTTTATACCATATTACGACATAAAAACAACAAACTTTTGCAAGATTCTGGTACTACGGCTACTTCTTTGATTTTTGTGTGTAAACTCACAATTGAAAGCATTTTGTTGCCAAAATCATACAATATGGACGTTGCATCGCTAGGAGGTAAGTCGTTAGATCATGTCTCACGCAATGAAAGTCTTTCTATTTTAATTATTTATTAATTCTGTTACTGGAATTGTTCATATATGTGTATATGTAGATATGTATGTAATTTATAACATATAAACCCGTTTCTCTTTAATCGTTTTCATTCAAATTATAAATTAATATATTAACCACTTCAAACATTTTCGAGTTTGTCAGCTGTTTTCAATGAAGATGCTTTCTTAGAAAAAGTGTGTTTTTTGTCACATAATATTTATTATTGAATAATTTGGCAGTGACTAACTAATACACACATGTGTATGTACATACACATTATTAATCTATCCTTGCTGTTGTTGTAGCGACAGAATTCCGCCGAGTTGATAGTTCTTGGCCGGAATAAATCCGGGTCCGTTCCGGTTACGTAGACCCGACTGTCGTGGGAACGGATTAATCTATCCTTCCTCTGGGGATATGAAGCAATGTTTTATTTTCATTATGTTTATGTTTGTTTTGTGAAGTTATTGTACCGTAATTCGCGATTTTTTTTTATTGTTTTTGCAAATGAAAATGTATTCCATAATTAAATATAAATATTGTGATAATTTCTATTATTATCATATATTTTGTTCAATAAATTTTTTATTTTATTTTATTTTAAACTTTGTTGGATCATCGGAGACTAAACAAGTTTATAATTTGGTTGTTGTGTATGTAAATAAATCGATATCTATTGAATTTCATAATCGCTACATTTATGTTCACACGTCAATCGTTGACCCAAATGCATATGTCAATATATTCGTCAAAGTGTTTCCATTTTGGCCAAACACCTACGTACATACCTATGTACCATACGTTAAAATGACAACTGTTGTGCCACAAACAAGTTTTCGTTTTTTTTTTTTTTTTAAATATGGTCAGATGTCACATCCATTTGTATGCACATACACAACCATACATAATATATGATATGTGGACAAGTACCATAAATGCACCTTTACAAGCATGCAATGATTATGAAGCAACTGTGCGCGCCGAAATGCATATGAAACAACTAATTGCAAAATATTTATGCAATAAAATCTGTGAACATGTTGATGACTTCGATTGCGATTATGATGTATACATTATGCATTTATTTGTAATTTTATACCTGGGCAGACGTATGAAAGTAAACATTTTAAAAAGTGTAAGCGGTAAAAGTGTTGTTGTAACAAAAAAAAAAAAAAAAAAAAAAAAAAAAGATTGATAAAAGTGAATTTTATTTTACTTAAAACCAAGTAGTTCTTATGTTTCATAAATGTCAATAAATTAAAAAAATATATATCTAAGCTAATATGTTTTTTTATTTACCTTGACTTTATGCGAACTTTTTTAAGTAATAACTTTTCTGCTTGTGCTTTTAAAGCTTGCTTAAAATATTTCTGTTTTATCATGAGCAGTTATTTTGAAGGAATGAAATAATGAGTTCATTTCCATCGCCTTGACGAATAGTCAAGGTGGGTAAGACCTCACATCATATCTTATCAACAATATTTAGTGTGATGATAAATAAAACAAGTGTGAAAAAAGGCAATAAAAGAAATGTATAAGCATATATATGTACATCTGTACTGCACATATTTATATTGTTTCATAATGCCGATAGGTTAACCAAGTTTAAAAAGTTTATTTAATGTGAAATAGTGGGTTCAGTCATCTGTTAATCGCAATTTATTTTAAATTTTTATAAAATGTGCGATATATATTTAAATTAATATTTATATAACAAGAACAATGTATGGAAAACATTTTTGATTGACAAGATATTTTTAGGAACTTTGGGGTAAAATATTATCCAAAACAACGCTACAATTTGCGAACAAATTGTTCAGATTGGTTTACATTGGATCATATAGCTGTCACACACACTGCTCCAATTCTTGTATGGAAACTTTTTTATTTGAAGAAATATCTTAACGAAATTTGGTATTGGTTTATTGTTCAAGAGAGTTCGAAGGTTGACTCCGAACAAATTGTCCAGATTGGACCACTACAGCATATACATATGTAGCGGCCATACAAACTGCTCTAATGCTTTCTGGTCCCAACTAAGCTTGTTTTTACTTGTTGATTGTTGGTTTTGTTTTAAGAATGTGCAGATTAGTAACTTATTTTTAATAAATTGGAATATTCTAGAGTATAAATTTCAAGCAAATTTTTTAACATACAAATTTTTTAAACGTATTATATGCCACTTGCAGTGGTGTGTGCAAATGAATCAGGCTAATACATTAAACTATGGTATGTACATACATATACATATATGTGTATATGCAGATAAGCGTATAAAATACAATTCGCTTGTAAATATTTGAATAGATTACTTTTGTACATTTGCGATAAGCCTAAATCATCATGCTGCATGCCACACCCTCGATTTCGCCATCGACTGCTCATGCCTCAGTGTGGGTTATTTCGGCGCGCTTTTCCTTCACGTGCGGCAAGCATGTAAATCGCCAAGTAAACACAACTTACATACATACATATTCAGCTAGATTAACATATAATTCTACATACATTCAAATGCATGTAAGTGTAAAAACAATTTACCAACTTCATTGCGTTTTGCAACCGGCGTTCGTGTTGGCCGTGACGTGAATGAACTCTCTAACAGCGGTCCGCAATTTTGTCGGTTTTGCTGGGCTGAGATTTGCGGGCATTTCAGCACATGCGCCGCGCTGTGTACTCGCGTCGTATGAGTATGAATAACTTTATTATGCCAAAGTTGTCGCAGATTGGTCTGGATGATGACTGGCTGCGTCAGCACAGCCATAGCCTGGTCGCTGCGCCGTGGCCAAGCCCGCTTGTTTGATTGCCTGCGCATTCGTATGATTCATTTAGCGCTGGAACGAACGTACGTACGAATTACGCGCATACTCGCAAAGAAAATAATAATGGAAAATAAAATAAATAAAAACTCCAAATACAGAAGAGTACTCCAATGAAGTAGCAGTGATATAAAAGTAAAAGAGCAACAAAGCGAAAATGTCGTAAAGTTATCTTTATTTTTAGGTTTTTTTTTGTGTAAATCTCACATACATACACACATATACATACGTAATGCGCGCAAGCATTATTATTATTATTGTTAATTTTTTATGTATAAAAATCAACGGAATGAATTTAGCGATAAGAAGGGAATTAAAAGTATTATATTGCATTATGTGCCATAGCAGAGTGTACCTACGTGAAATTCGAATGAATCAAAGTAAATCTGAGTCACACTTCTAGCGTCTATTTTGTATGTATGTAAATAGTTATAACAATTTTTTTTATATTAAAAAAAAAACACGAAAAAGTTAACTACGGCTGCACCGAAGCCATAATACCCTTCACGGGCTCAACTTTTTCTAACAATAACTTGATTTTGATGGGTCAGTTTGTATGACAACTATATGCTATAGTGATCTGATATCGGCGGTTCCGACAAAAGAGTAGCTTTTTGGGTAGAAAAGGACGTGTGCAAAATTTCAAATCGATATCTCAAAAACTGAGGGACTAATTCGCGTATATACTGACCGATGGACAGACGGACATGGTTAAATCGACCCAGCTCGTCACGTTGATCTTTATTGTATATATTTTATAGGGTCTCCAACTTTTCGTTTGCTGCGTTACAAACTTCGTGGCAAACTTAATATACCTTGTTCAGGGTATCGGTTACCATTGACATTTATAAGTTGTCTCCAAATTTTATCAGATCATATTGATTTGTGTTTTATTTTATTTTACCACTTGTCTATCGCACTCTATATGCCTCTCTCTACCCCTCTCACTCTCGCTCTTGCTTTGTAATTTTATATTTTAAAATGTGTCAGTCTATAAATATGCACAGTTCTGCTTATCTTATCTCTTATTTTCATTGAATTCAGTCTTTCTAACTTTTACTCTTTTATTTATCGCATTTTCGCAGATTTTAAAGCGTTAAAATGGCAAACGCTGTTATTACAAAACTGTCGCAATTTGATAAGAACAAAGTTTGTTCAATATAATTTCCTTTAAGTTTACCTTGTTTGTGTAATAAAACTTTACTATTGACTTTATTTAATTTTAATTTTCACGCTCTGCCAAACCGAGTGGCTGATAACAGGTAAATTTACAACCGATTAAAAAATTGCATCAAAACTACTACTTACCGATCCAAACAGTGTGAGATCGCCGAAATGTTAACAACACCCACTGAGCAAACTTGAGCCGGACTGACTTTCACATATTTTAATACAAATCTTTATTATCGCCTTCAAAATCGGCTCCAAACAAGCCAACGCTCAATTAAATTTTCCACGTATTAGTTATAAGCCTCGGCTGAGATGACCTTCAGTGCTTACAGCGAATTTTGGTTCTTCCGGTTTCGGCTCATTTTTGGAACGCAATTTGCTAGATTATTGGACAGTTTCGACGCCATATTCATAAAACCACGTCTTGTCACCAGTAAGGATGCGTTTGATGAGTATAGGGTGCTCAAATACGTTGTCTAGCGTCTCTTTTGCGACATTTACTAGAGTTTTCGATGACTTCACGATCTTCACAAAATGCTTTGTGTCACTCAAATACTTGCGTTCTTGATAAAGTAGATTCCCCATAACACGTCTAAAACATTTTAAACGAATATATAGCCATGATTCCATTGAAAACACCAAATTTCAACCAAACTCGTACTTAAAATATAATTTTTATGTTTAAAGTTCTAGATAGTTTGTAAAATGACTACTTCAAAACATTTGACTTAGTCCTCTTTTAACAATTTTTAATAGCATTTGAGACCAAAAAAATGTTTTTAAAAGGTTTTTTTTTAGTTTTATATTTTAGTTCTGATTTTCTTGGAATGACACATTTTGACATATTTCTTGCCCAGTCATACGTATAATGCAAACATTTTATAATGCTTATAAAATTATATTAAAAAGGGGAAATATAGAGAGAAAGAGAGAGAAAAGGAAAATCTATATTAAATTAAATCTACATACAGTTAG